AATGCAACAAGGAACCAGAAAAAGCCTCACACTAATGGAAATAAAGAGTTTATCTAGTGGTAAGCCTGGATGTATACCCACAAGAACAAATGTCAGTCTTACCCTGCGGGCAGCCTTCCCAAAAATAAAGGAAGAAGCTTAATTGAGATTAATGGCCTTTTTTGCTGAGGCTTGTGGGAAGTCCTAATAAGGCAATGTGTTAAACAGTGAATGTAATTTATAATACATGCAAACTTTAGAAGATATAAATAACATATGACACTGAATGAGAAATGTCTTAGGCCTTTCTCACGTTGTTTTTAGAGACACTTTCACCTGTTGGATTTAAAGTAGGATTCAAGTTTCTATTTTTTGGAAGGCCAGCATGCCTGCTTTATGCACCAGCACAGTTGAAACTCTTAATAATGTCACAGTGAGCAGACACTGCTTCCAACCAGCTTACACTGTGGTCACAGATGATAGACTTCCATAATCTAAGCTAAAGTAATTGTATTTACATTAGTGTTGATTTTGCCTGTAGTGACATTTTTTCTAGGTTTTCTTGAATGTTAAACCTAGTTTTCTCCATTTCCCATCACCTTACATCTTTGTGCTCAATCAGTCGTGACACAACACCTTTCCACAAAAAACAAGGCCAAAAATTTTTACACAGTAATTCCTGCACCAAACCAAGTATTTTTAGATGAACCAGACTGGTATCCTGTAAAAAAGTATGTAATTTGAGAATTTCATATGATAGAGGTTTAATAATTTGTATAAACATCCAACACACACACATACATTCAAGGGTAAGGGAAAATAATTTACTATTTCCTTCACTATATGTTTGTTTAATATTATACTTCAACTGTCCTGAAAAGTCCTACACAAAACAGTCATCATCGTGCAAAACTTAATTTTTTCTGATACACACTGAGTTATGTAAGGCATGTACATGTTCTTTTCATTTATACCAAGACACATAAATGCACTCACAAATACACATCTCAAGTATACAATCTGAAATAATTACATTCAGATGCTGAACAGAGTACTTATACATAGCAGAAATAACTCAAGGTCTTTAATACTTTGTCTTCAGCTTTTTTCTGTTATCATCATTACGAAACAATGTTCCATTTTTCCTCAGTAGATAGATCTATTAAAGCAGAGAAACAGAACTTTTCTTTATTTTTACCTGGTCTGCTTGTAATCTTCATCTTGCATCTTACCTTTTCTTCTAACTAAAATTTTAATTTTGCTTTGTCCAAAAGTCTGATTCTTTCAACTGCTCTAATGAAACACAAATCCCTCTGTGTTTTGCAGCAATCCTTCCTTTTACCCTTTGCTTTCAGACAGTGCTTGCGTCTTCTTATATCTTCCTCACTTAGTTGCTGTTCTTGAGTGAGCAATACTCCCAATTCATGTATCGTCACCCTCAGCACAACTGTCATGACTTGCATATTATAAAACACTGCAGAAGAAATTCAGGCAGGTGTAATTCTGTTGACCACAGAGAGCTGTACTAACTGCAAACAGTCTTGTTGTGGTCCTAACATTTTACTGAACAGTCTGTGCATAAGCTGAACATTCCTTAATACTCACACCACACAATCATCTTCCATAATTTTTAGTGCTTTACATGATGTCATTTGTATGCTACATGAATTGACTTAATAAGCTTTTTTGCATTTATTGTTCTCATGACTAGTTTGCTTCATAAAAAGATTTAACTTGGAAATAAAACTGTTCTTAAGAAAACCTATCCCATTTGAAGGATGTTCATCCTACCCTAAAGCAATCAAAATCAAATTTCCTATATACTGTTAAAATCAATGACAGTTCTATGGATAATGCATAGAACAGCAATTAACCAGAATTTATCTGTACAATGAAAAAAAAGAATTATATACTTTTATGGATTCAAAATGCACTCTTATTTTTCAATCTATTTGGTACAAAAAAACCCTAAAATTACTTTATCTCTTACACGGGAATGGTGGGTTACCCCAAAATACGGTCTAGAATCCAAAGTATAAAGCACGTTTTTCATATTATGCACAGTACTAATGTCTCAACAATCCTGTCCAAACTGACCAAGGTTCTGTGCTTGTGGTTCTTCCTTAGTCTCTGTTGGTACAAGCTCACATTCAATCCACAATTAAAATTAAATAGTTGCCTTAGCATTTGTCTTACTATTTTTAAGGTGAGGGATAATGTTACATGGCTTTTGTCTCATATTTTTAAGGAAACAAAAGATCTCACAAAAATTATATGAGACAAATCAGTCATTTTTAAGATAAACTTTTATTGAAAAATTAAAACCGCATTGCATAACTTCTTTATAACTTCAACATTTCTTAAACCACAAAACAGAGATTCTGTTTAAAAAATCTCTTCATATTTGTCACCATTCAAAAAACAGATTAAAAGCTTACTCCATGATGATTTTAAAATTCTGGATTATTCCCAAGGCCCCTGCTTCTAGCTGTGTGTGTACCATGAATGGTATCATCTATCTTCTCTATAAATTACTTTTAATAACACAATCAGAATTTTTCTCATTCAAAATCACCAGCTGCTCTTGATTTTTATCCAGTGGTCAGTCTTTTCCAAATAAATTGTATCAGCTAATAAGCACTGCAGCTACCTGTTCAGCTAAGATCTTGCCTATTGTTTAATTCACCCATGCAAAGTTACAGTGATTGTCCATGTAATTTTAGGGACAAAATTGCTACCTCCGAGTATATTTTAAACCTCTGAAAAATGAAGTTGCTCACCTGGAATTAAAATGCTTCACATTAGTCAATACTTTGAAATATCCATACATCTTAATCTCTCACAGTCAATAGCATATGGATTAAAAAGAAGGAAAATTCCAGGTCAGCATTAGTTTGAGAAGTGTGGCATATTACTCAGATGGAAATGACCTAATAAGAAAACAGATGAGTTTTCTCACTAATGACTATAACTGCTCTGTTGAAATCAGCTATCCAAGTCAGAAATTAATATGAGCATGGTGCCTGTTGAACACAGTATATGTAATAGGAAAACACCCCAGAATCTGATACTAGAATCAAAAGCTTTGCAAAAATGTAATTGTGATCATCTGTGTCAAGACACAACACTGCAGAAAAGCAAGATAAATGCAGAGAGTAGAAAGATAAACTTAAGCCCTCTGTCTTTAGAGACAACACCTATGCATTAACTGTCTCACTTCCAAAACAAGCAGGAGGAGCTCCATTATTCCCACCTAGCTGCAAACCATCAATGACAACAGGAAGAACGTCATGCTTTTGACCTTCAAAACACGAGTTACTCCATGAAATGAAGAAGCAGAAATTTTAGTTAGCAAAACATTATATATGCACTGAAGAGCTCTAGATCTGTGTCTGACTACATCACAGAACTGTCAGGGGCTTTGCTGTATGAATGCCAGTCAGCTGTATTATGGTCTTTCCTACAGCTTCATGATTAGGATGAAGATGATTCTCTTCACCTAGTTTATATGCATCAAGGAGAATTAACATCTCAGATAAATTAAATTATTATTAGAATATTGAGATGGTGATCTGGATACGGGGTTCATGAGGTTAAAATATTAAAATTAGAGGATTAGGGGCAAGTTAGAGCTTTAGTAATACTGTTATTAACAAGGGAGGTGGAGGAAATCAGAAATTCCTATCTAAGAACTGGTGAAAATCATAAGAACCATAGTGTTTGAGTGGAAGACACAAAATCCTCTAGTGAAGCTAAGTCACCAGTTACATCTCTTTGGATTAATTGTATTAGTTCATATTGTCTCCCACGAACAAGAAGAACTGAAAGAATTTTTTCAGTCTTCTGTAGCTGCCCTTTGAATAAAGTAAAACTGAGACCAGATTACAGATGGAAGTCTGAAATAAAAATGTGACACATGCTTCTTCAAAATTATCTTCTTTCTGTACTTTAAGATCAGCTCTCCATGAGAGGTCCTCTAGTTTTGATGAATAGCTGGTATCTATAAAGAATGACATTTAATATTATGGAAGTTAGTACTGAAGTCAGTGTGCATGCCAACTACATCTGTATGCAGGCCTCAGGTCATACAGCATGGATGTTTACACCAGAAAACGTCAAGTATTCAATACACAGTAATGCAATAGGCTTATCATTGAGGAAGACTGAGGTTTAAGATCGACAACTACACTGTCTTGAAAAAAATCTAATGAAAGAAATACTGTACTGGTAAGATTACTAGGGTGTTTAATGACATGAAGTAACAATTCAGATCTGTTTTGAAAATCATACGTCTAAAGGTCAGTGACAAATTGACAGTAATTTTTAGATTCAACTCAATTTGAAGAAAAGATTTTACAGAAGGTTATGAAAGAGGAATAAGCAAGAGTCCTATGAAAAGCTGGACAGGCTGTGCTGTAGGATACATTTACTGTAACAGCTTCTTTCTTCTCCCTGTGCTAACACAGCCACAAATGTGAGACACCATCCTCCAAAGACAGCCAGTGGGACCCGCAGGATGGAAACCTCTCTTGCCTGTACATGTCCTTCCACAGGACTGACAGGGGCCAGAGAGACTGCAAAAAACTGCATAGCATGACCGTATTGCACTGAAAGTTTCTACAATAATTCAGTTTTATTACTGAGGTGGAGGGGAGGGAGAAAAAGCAGTTAATTACTGACTTGCGAAGAATCACATATGAAAACACTTGGAATTAGCATATTCCATTTATCACCATGACACTAACTCAGTGAACAGAGGATTATTGAATCTCCGTTTTGTTCCACTACTCTGTTTCCAGTATGGACTTTTCCACTCAGTAATATTGATTATCTAATGATTAAAATTGATCAAGCTGCAGATGAATCTGGTGTCTATACTTTGAAAAGCCTAACCAGTTGAAATTATTGGGACAAGCTAGCTGTATTAAAAGATACCGAGATTACTTCTGGTTTTAGTTATTTTATAAGTTCCAAATAGATAGTGAATTCCATTTCACTAAAAGAATGATGTTGGTTAAAACTCCCACAGAATTTAGTTAAAATGGTCACAGAGGTCAGTCCTGAAATAAAATTCAAAAACGGGGGCCTTGGTTAGCAATCAATATTCACTAGAAAAGCATTCAGAACACTGAACAGACAGTCTGACATTACAATAAATAGAACTGAAATTTCTAATAATTCTAATAGATTAAAGGTATCCCATAATTTGATAGTCTATACACAATGTCAGGATTCCTTATCTTCAATAAAATTATCTGTAAGTTATTACTTTAAGGGCACTAGGATTTAAAAGAAAGTGTCAACTAATATTTTTGTATTTTTTCTTTGGCTCACAAAGACACTAAAATACCATAAACATTATTTAGAACTTCAATAATATATAAATAGGTTACATTACAAACGGAAGAAAATACAAGACAACTCTTCAGCATGGTAAATCTCTGCATATAAATAAGCAAATATTTTGGATACCTACAATTAAACAGTTATCTTGCTGTAAAACTATTACATTTAAATCCTTTTACACAAAGTCATTTAACAATAATATACACGATCTACACAAATTAACCTCTAAAAATACAGCAATAATATACCTGTTACAATGACTGCTACTGTCATCCCCTGATTTGACACTAAAGGGCAAGTACAACTATTTTACTCAAAGGTGCTCTTAGAGATTGCTGTTTTGTATGTGAGAAAAGCACCAACAATAAGATCTAATACTGTTATACATTTTCTTCAGCTCCTAAGAATCTACATTTTAGAAATGTTTCTGTATGTCTATTTCTGTCTGGCAGAAAAACTTGTAGCACATTATCCACATCAATGTTGTTGAAGGAAAACTCAATTTTCTTAAAGTGGAAAACATGCTGTGGCTTAGATCTAAGTTTATAACCACTTTATGTATATATATATGTATGTATATATATAATTATATATATATATTTATTTATACTGTACATATATACTGTGCAGAGTTCTTAATTTGCTATTTTAATACTTATTAATTTTCTGCTGCCTACAATAAATAAGACCAATGTAAGAGTCAATAGTACTTCAAGATAATACATTTTCCCTCAATAATATGATCTACCAATACATATATATTTCAGTAGCCTATAGTTGTTTTGTTTAAAGATGTCTTAGGAGATTGGAACTTACAGAAAGAGAATTTCCTTAAAACATGTTCTGCAGAACTGGGCTAAAAAAAATACCCAGTGCTGGAAAACAGTGAATTAGAGAAATAAATAATTCAAGCACTACAGCTCCTGCCCCAATCTCTCAATTTCCTCAATGAGGAAGTCAATGTCAGACTTAGTTGCTGCTGGGTTTGAGATAACCATTCGGAAAAAGTTGACTTTTTCGCCCTGAGGCTGATATCCAACCATGGTGGTACCTGACTCCATCATCAGTGCCTTGATTTTCGGTGCCACCTTTATCATTAAAGAGAGAGAGAGAGAGAGAGAGAGAAAGAGAGAAGAAAAAATTATTCTTTCCTTGTATGTCACAGCAGTTCTTAATTCAGAAAAAATAATTTGACAGACATTTGTTTTAATAAAAAATGTCTATAACAAGAAAAAGCTTGAAAAATTAAATATGTAGGATTGGCAATTTAAAAGAAAATTGACAACAATGATATCCTTTTTTTTTTTTATTTGAAAATTAGTAACGTCCCAGAGCATTCACTATGTAATAATTTTATATATTAAATGTACATCTCCTTTCTTTGTGCTGAAGATTTTGTCACAATGAAACATTTTCTGCTTCTGTATGAAAATCCACTCCAGACCTTCTTGAGGGTAATGGATGTTTTCCATTAGAATATTACATATTCTCAAAGCGTTTTGAATGTGGGGACAGCAATGGAAATTTTTTAACAAGATCTATGTCACAAAGTATATTTTTTGTTAGCATAAGCCATAGAAACCTTCCAGTAGTTTTGCAGTACTGTGCATTTACCACAATCTCACTTCCTTGGTTTAATTTACAGGGAATAAAGTTCTGACAGTCTTAATATTTGGTATTGACTAAGTCCAGTTTTTCCATCCAGACCTTCATTCTCTTGCTCTACTCTCTGCCAGGCAAGGTCAGCTGTCTGGCTCTTACTGTTTTGTAGAATGCTTTATGATGTCCTCTAACATTTAGCAGGGTCAAATCAAATATTTCATCCCTCTTGCTGTTTCTTACCTCTTACTTCTATCTTCCTTTATTCTCTCTTTTTTTGGCAATTTCTTTATCTAACATGGGACTGGCTTGACCCAGGAATTTCTGTTCTCTTCTATTCTCTTTACCCATTGTGATGCAGTCATTAAATCCTCTACAAAATCTCCCAAGTTTCCCCATTCTTCTCCCTTCCCTAACACACACAGACACAAAAGAGCAATTATTTTTGACACCTGTGAAATCATTCTTTTTTTCTCCTAATGTATTCCATTCCACTTCTGTCTAAAACACTACTACAAAATAACTGCATTTTGCTTCCCCCAAGTCCTGAGTAACATGGTATCTTTTCTGGTGGTGCTTCTGTGATGCCTTCACTTCCCTCGACCATTTCAAATAAAAGTATTCCAAAGTCCTCCAAAGGGTATTCATTTTCACTGAAATGCATTAATGCATTGGCATTTAAAATCAAAATAAATACCTGAGAAGGAACTTAAACGTTTTCATGTCCCTTACTTGTCCAAGCATTTTCAAACAACTACCCTTCTTTTTCTCTTGTTGATAAGCTGCCCTATCCAAAAAAGACTGTGATGTCTGTAGGCCTAGCTACTTTTTGGATGCTTGTAACACTTGTGAGCAAAGGATAACTGAATATGTTCTGAATCTGGTTCTATAGGGAAAACATGACTTCAGCATCGATATAAAGTGAATACAAAAGTGAACAAATACCAGGGTCATAACAAGCAACAGAGAACTGACGTCTCAGAATTTGAAATTATCTTTTTACATTTAACCAAAAATACTTACCCTGTGTAACTTTTCTCTTCTCTCATCAGAGTCTGGCATGCCCCTGAGACTTGGAGGAATATACCAAAAACATACATTTGTATGCTCTGGCTGCAAAAAGAACCAAACATATACATCAATTAAAAAAATTATACAGATCAGTCCCACGCTAAAGGCTAGTCAGTAGCATATTTTATCACAGACATGAAAGACAAAATATAGTATTGACTTTCCTAGTCCTGCATGTTAAACAGAAAGAAATGGATTGCAGTACTGCTGCTAGCCTCTGCTGCCTTAGATTCCCTATACATCATCTCATTTGCAATATTTAGGTTGCTAATGAAGTGCAAATGCTTTTCACCTTTGTGCAGTTTTATGAGTAACTGTTTTTCAGGATCACATCAAGGGCAACCCAATTTTCCTTTCCTTAGTAAAGGGAGAAATTAAGTTTATACTATGACCCAAAGGCTTATGTACTGGCACTAGCAACAGAATATACAGTAAAAATAGCAGATTCTCAGTTATGTACACAATAGCCTCCGTATGAGTAGGTTGTATTAAGGTTGTATTAATCTTCATGCCCTGAACTGAGAAGGTCTCTGCAGAAAAGGAGGACATAAACCTGACATTTATGGTACAAAACCACATGTATTTGACAAGAAAACCTGCCCAGATGCCAATAGTCATGTAGTTCTTTAGAAAATAAGAGCAGTTTTGCATAGCTGTCTTGACGAACTGTGAGAAGCATGAAGACAGATTTGGCTCAAACATATATGAAAGCAAACTTACCTCCCCTTCAAAAACCATCTCAAATTCTTCTCTGTTTTTTATTTTAGTGTAGAGATACTCTGCCAGTTCCAGGCATTTATTGATCTGATTTTCAAATCCTACTGTACCCTGTTTAAATAAGAAAGTAGGTATTAATTTTATGGTCCTTTTTTTTCTGCTCTGATGCAATCATCTTTTCAGATAGGTTTCACTCTTAAATATTTTCAGGCAGAAAACATTTAGCAGTATTATTTCTTGTAACTTAAAAGTAGCATTAATAAATGGTAAAAAAGTGGCTGAAGGTGGTCCAATTGTAAATCATTTTGGTTTGTCTCATTTTAAGAGAATTTATAATGAAAATAACAAGGACTTACACTATTTTTAGTAGATTATTTTAGGTCTTTTGTATTTTTTCCAGTTTCCAAAAATATTATGGGTATTATGTCCTGGCTTCACAGCTTCTGCTGAAATACCAGAAGCTTGGAATGGGAATTCAGTTGAACGTGTAAGAACTGGGAAATAAATTATTTCCTCTGACCAGTTTGCTAGAAATGAGCATTTAATCAGCATGCAAAAGTCTGCAATGTGTTTACTGGAAGTCTCTTGCCAACCCACTGATATCTTGTCAAAATCATAATCCCAGAAAAAGTATATGGATGTTGATAATAAACAGTAGGGTTTTTTTCTAAAGTACACTTTGTACATGAATGAAGAAACAAGCATTTTTTCCCAAAGCGAAAACTGTTTTATAATTTTGGAGTGTATCATTAGATTTAATATAAATTTTATTTAAAAAAATAGACTCTGGACAGGTTACCCAACTGAATTCCCATTTTGCCAGCAGAAGGGTAAGAATAACAAATGAGATGACTGCAGATAAAGCAATAAAGATGGAATGTGTTTTCTGGACTACATGAACCCTCATCTTGTGTACATGTAAGCCTGGACATAAGCCCATGTTTAACTTCAGCCATCCAGGCATACCACAGTAGTACCAGGTAATCAACAGTGGAATCATCACTTGGGCAATGCTTCCTCAGAAAAAGGCTTTGTTTTCCAAGTCGTTTATAAAATCTATGCATTGAAATGTCATGCTCAATGGACCCTTGTAAGTCACCAAGGCTACTCTGCTGTTACTACAAGAAATCTGTCATAAGGTACATATGCAAGTGTAGAGCATAACAACAAGAGATCAGTTTGGTGCCCTGCCCTCAAGGCTTTTTCTGCAGGACTCATCTAGTAACTTAAACCTTTCTTCAAGTTGCCATCTGAATTTACTGACAGCTAGCATTGCTCTACAATTCACATAGTTCATTTCTAAGTTAATACTTGGATACTTGTGTGTTTAGAGACTGTAATGACACAAATATTTATGTTAAAATAAAGTATTCCATTACAGGACACTTAGAAATTAAATAAATACATTTCTGGTTTTTGAGATAACAATAAATTCTTGTTATTTACCTTTGCTTTCCACATCAACCAGAATTTGAAAATGTCCACATGTCGACCACACTGTATTGCCTTATCTCCAGTGTCATAGGAGACATCATACTGTTTGTCTGGCTGGAAGAGATAGCCTGCACACATTTGATTGCAGCCTTGAAGAATACCCTACAATGAAAAATGCATAGACTTATATGACTTAACTGGCATTAGTGCATGAGAGAATGTACGCATTAATAATGTATAAAAATGTATTTCAAATGTTCAGGAGAATAGTTCTTTGATAGGATGTATAAGGTACTGACCTTGTTTTGTAAACCCGAGCAACAAAATTAATTTCATAGCGTAAGGTGGTTCTCTTAGAAGTCTCTGAGTAGTCATATGTTTTTACACACAAAAACAACCCCCCAGAGAAAACATTCACAGATTAATTTGGATACTTCGTGATATTAGCTTTACCATAAGGCTATGTTTTTTAAACTTAAATTTATGAGTTGTTAAATTACACACTAGAATAAAGCTGTGGTCTCTTGGTGCAACAGATTGCTACACAAAATAAAGTGAGAAAACTTAATTGAAGGTTTAAACTTTGTATGTTGTTCAGCTATATGACACTTAACATTAGTGATAAGTATAAGCACAAATGATATAAACTGGACATTTTTTGCATATAAATAAATATGGTTCACAGACTAATAGAGATCAATGGACTACTGGTAAAAATGTCTGGTGGAAACACCGGGCAGCAAATTCCTGTATGTTATATGTGACGTTTCTAAATGGTTTGCATTTCCTTTGAAGTTTATTAGTGTTTTTTTCAAGAAACTTGAAGATACCAGTGTGTCTCATAAATACAAAAACATCTATCAAGTTCTCATATAGAGAACAAAATCTTTCCAAAATCCTACAGTAGCTGGCACAATAAGCATGCATGCCACTAAAGAAAGGTTCATGGTTCCCTTCAATAGATGTGTTTTACGAAGGGAAATAAATGCTGCAGTCCTCAGTTTAGAGATGGATCAGCTGGAAGAACAATGGCAGACCTAGGGCTGCTACTTAGAACTCTTCCATCCCAGTTCTACGCACAGGGATGGAATTAAGTGCTTCTAGTAGCAATTGGCACATAAGAGATTAGTAGACAACATCATTAGTCCTATCCACATATGGTATGGTTTTCTTTTTTATCATTTAATAAAAGTATGTATTACTTAAAAGAAGCAAGACACTAGGTTTGCTTTCATTGATGACAACAAAGAATCTCGATGCCAGCCCTAAAAGTACAGAGTCATAATAAAAGTAGCATGTTTTCTTTTCAACAGAACTGGGAAACTTCTAAACCACTGTGTAAGGTAAAAGCTTGCCTCTTACTTCAGCAGTTTAGACTGCGACCAAGTACTAAGACTGAGGTTCTATGTTCAATATATCATAGAAACGTGGGGCAGGTGCTCAGATTAAATAATTAGGACAGCTCTATTGTTGCTATTAGAATATGCAAAGATATAATAGGTGAGGATCTGACCCATGTTGTCTACAATTTTAATAAAAAAAGCTAAAAACCCCAGGACAGATAAAACGACTTCCAAAACACAATGCAAACCCTCCTTCCAAAAGAAGTTTTGAAATTAAACAGATTTTGCAGTACCCTCTTAAAAAGTAGGGCTTGATATTTACTTTTTAATTTTGTTTCTAAAAATGTTCAATTATTAAATATAAGGCAGACCTTCTCCCGGACAAGAATTGCAGAACATTGTAACAACACTCCCATCATCTTGTGTGGATTCCAGGTGACTGAGTTGGCTCTGCAAAAAAATTACACATTCAGATAGATCTGGAAAACAGAAACTTAATCTGAAGCAGTCACCTTTGTTTTCTGCTTTCAGCTGGAAATATATGACATTTTGACCATGATGATATCACTATGGATATTGTTACTGTCTGAAGTGCCTTTTTTCCCAGCTATGCTGTCCAGAAAATTAATTATTTTCATGTTAACATAGCAATGTCAGACTTGTGATTAGCTTATATTATTAGTAATACCAGCTAATTAGTATCAGACTGATTAGCTGATTCAGTAACATCATCCCCAGAAGAGTTCTCTTTTAGAAATAGCACTAATAAAAATAACAAAACTACTTTGACATATTCTATTCAAGGAACTGACAGGGAAAGTGGAGGTGTCAGAGAATTAAGGGGCCAGTATAGATTTTGGGAGAATACAATTCTTTACTGAACAGCTGCTGGAAAAATAGAAAGGAAATAAAAAGACATTCTGCATTCTTACCTGCTTTCCTAGTTAGAGCCAGAGCCCTTGTTTGTCAAGCCCATGGACTGTTAAAAGGCTCTAAAACTTCACAGCATATCCTACCATTCTGTATGTAAAGCTCAAAATTTCTTACATGTAAACACGAGTGAATGCACGAGATCACCTAATTTACATGTCAAACGGATTTTATGTATTTCAACATACTATCCTAGACAGTTTAACAGTGACACTGAAATAAATGTGCCAGCATCGCACATCCATTGACCTTTTCACCCTAAGTAATTAATTACCAAGCGTTCCCTTTATTCACCATGTTCCAGAAAATCAAAGTGCATAATTGTATTTCACAGACTATACATGTGTTTTTACAGTGTGGTTGAAAGAAAATTAAAAGGTATTTCCTCCTCTTCTACACCCTGCTCTCAGAGGACACAGACACAACCACAGTTTCTCTGTTTTGAGCAACACAGTGATGTCTTCACCCCAGCCTGATGACTGCTGCTTTCTACATACAATTCCAACCCCTGTATGTGCTAGGTTAGACTGTAGCACCCCTCAACTAAAAGAACGGTGCCATGCTGTACCTGGGGACTTCACCATCCATCTAACATCAGCTGCTTATGCAGTGCAAACCAGCAGATAAATAGCTCAGACTTAGGAGGCAATTATCTTTTAGAAAAACTTCACTAATAGTTCAGATGGAGCGGTCAGGAAAAAGGAATTTATATAAAACTGATTTCCTTTTTAAAACACCATGCCTTCAGTTTAGCACATTCATTTAACTTTCAGGGTTTCAAACAAAGACAATTTTAAGCTATTCCTCACAAGGAGCATCAGGTGTGTTTTAACATGAAGCTGTCACTCTCTCCTCCGTGCAGCCCCCAGCCAGAGGCTGTCCTACAACAGCCTCTCCCAGCCCTGTGCCATGGCAGCATGCCAGTCCTCCTTGCCAGTGTGTCCAAGCAGGCCAAGTAGGACCTGAGTGTTAGCAACAGACCCCAGCTGGGGCCCATGACAGGCAATTACACCGTACACGTGGGCCCCATCCTGTGTTTCAAGATCTGTACAGCTGACTAGCAAAGAAATAATTTCATGCTTCATGGCCTGCTGCTTTCTGTATTTGCTTAAAATTATGGCCTTAATTAGCACCTCAGGGTTGACCTCAGGTCAAAAGGGGTGTGCCAAACTCCTGTGACCAAACCTCTGTATCTTAACAAAATTATTTTGCAATGCTGACTTAATATTAGACACGTCGTCATGAGTCACAAGCAAACTGGACTGGGCAAAGGTTGATAGGATTCTGCTGCTTCAGAGTACTCTACACTACATGCTGCTGTCATTGTGACAAAAGGGTCTACGTGGTTCTGCTGTCAGTTCTTTCATATCCAGTCCTATTCTTGATGTTGTACTTATTCTTCACTTACTGTATGAGATGCCCAAACCTAGGACAGTTTATTTGTTTCCCCTAAGGAAGAGCATTGCTCACTGTACTCATTTTACATGGTGCCTGCGTTCAGAATGGCAAACTCAAGGAAGCAAGTTGGTACTAATTTAAAAGTATATGGATAGAGGTTGCTTCAAATATTTTTTGCTTCCCTGAAGGCTGATATTTGCAATGATGGAAAATATCTAAAGTTTCTAATTCTTCATTGCCTTCCTGATTTCCTGATTTTTTTCATATGGGCACCATGGTAGAGCGCTTTCAGAGGAAATCTAGAGACCAACACACTCATGGGTTTCATCTTCTACACACTTGTCATCATTGGACATGGGAACAACTGTGCCAAAGACTACACCTGGACGGACTCCTGAGTCAAAATTGTAAGGACCAGTGGGAGGATCACGCTCTCACTCTGCTATCACTACCAACACAAATGCTTTGCCTCTTTAAATTTGATTCAATCAGAGGCTGGCTTCTGGTCTCAGTGGTCATCTTGGTAAGCTGGCTTATGTACCTGGGGGTACACACATGCTTTTTTCTGCAGACTTCTCTCTGACCTCTGCAAGAGCTTCCTGCTTGTTTCATGTAATCCCCACATGGCATCAACACACAGGCCCCTGTGCCCTGAGACAGATGAGCACCTGTGACCCTTTCTGGCCTCTCTGTAAATGACCACAGTCTTCTCCCTGGTACAGCAGAAGTGCAGCAGCTCTGTCTATCATAGCCCTTTCAAGCCTTAAAAGTACTGAAACTTGCTGCTAATTCAGTCTCTACCTCCTCTCTTTGTTGCATACACCTATCTATTTTTTTTTGTGTGTGTGTATAAATAAAAGTAATACAAGATTAAGTATATATATATATATATATATATATAAAGTGTTCCATTTACAGAACACTCATGAACATATAGTCTTTATTTTCTGGAAAAACTGCAAACATCTTTCAGGAAAGAACCTTTACAAATTCCCACTGTGGGTATTCATACTCAAACACCTTCCCTGGATTCCTCATTTATCACTGCTATTCTCAAAGCCCTACATTTCAGAGATTGTCTAGCTCTCATATTTCATTTTTTTCTTCAAATACTTCTCCATCCCTCCACCCATCCCAGACTTATGAACCCTACAAAGCTATGCATAGAACAATTTCCCATCCTTTTTGCCAAGTAATATCCTTGTCTTCCTTTAAATCTGCTGAAAACTTACCTTTCACTCAATGGTACATCGCAAATTTCTTCTGTAGTATTGTTTCAATCTCCCCAGTCTAAACCTTTCCCCTCTGTCTCACTATTGTTTAATGTAGTGTTCAAACTCCTTAATGTAGCAAAGGAATATTTTCATGAATTGAAGAAGTGTCATGTACCTTATGAAAGTACTTTAGGAAAAGTATTACAAATAAGCACTGTGTAGTACCTTTCTATTCCATTCAGTTTATGACGGTGCTTTCGGGACATTAAGAGTCCACCTCCCCAGGCAGCCTGGAAAAGACAGAAAAAAGAAAAGACTCATTTTTTAGAAAAAGATCAACAGATTTTAGTTTACTCAGGATCTTGTAATAAATATTTTAATTCAAGGGAAAAAAAAGTGTGTACTAAGATCATTTTTTGCCTGAATAGCATCACTTTTTTCTTACTTACATCTACATGGAGCCAGAGGTTGTATTTTTCACAAATATCTGCAATCTCCTGTATTGGATCAAAGGCTCCATATACTGTTGTGCCTGCAGTTGCATTCACAAAAAGAGGAACATATCCCTACAATAAAAATAAAAATATAAAATATAAATTGAAAACACTTTCAGAAAAAAGAAGGGGAAAAAACCAAAATTATTCCAGAAACATTAGCTCATTTCTTAACCTAAAAACATTTTTCTTCCCATGTGAAAGACACAACATAAGCAACAGTAGAAACTAACTAATCATATACATGGTATTTTCTTGCAATTTCACTTCACAAAATTAACTAGTTAGAAGATAAAGAAAATTATTTTATCTAATCTTCAGTGAGGAAATTCAAACAACGTAGTGTAAGATGACAAAAATTCAAATAAATTTGGGACTTTTACAGCAGTATAAACAAAAATTAATTAAATGTGATTTGTAAGTCGTGATTTGAAGGCTTGGAGTTGTTCCTTTACTCTTTATCTACTAATAAAGAGAACAAAGCAGAACAAAGAAATCTAAAACAAAAGCAATAAATGAGAAACTATCAGATCAAAGAGAGACAATTCTGAATTAGATGAAATAAATGTGAACTGCTATTTCATAGAGTGCCCAAATGTAAAGAAGTTAAGAAATAAAAAAAAAAAATAATAATCTTGATTTCTCTTTGGTTATTTTATTAAAAATTCATGGGTTTTTCCACTGCATTGATTCAAGAAATAGCAATTACTGACTAAAATTTAAGCTTATTATCTATATTTAACAAATATTCTTGCTACCTGCATGAAATCTATAGGGTTTTCCAAGGGGTCTGTAGAATCTTTTATGGGTTTGACTAAACTTAAAAGTTTAGATAGAAGTAGCTTAGATTTTATGTTTCCGTGCTTGTTTCCAGACATTTACAAACAGGAAGTTGTTTTTAAAAGTCATGAACTACAGATGTGGCTCAAGAGTTAAAAGACTTTTTGTTTTAATCAGAAAATGGAAACCTTACCAAGACACACAGATAATTCTGTAAACAATACATGAATATATAATTAAGCATTAAAAAATACCGTTATTATATTTATGTCATGATAATGTTCTCTGTAATGACAACACAGGCTTCAAAGGAAAAAGCAATTTTACTAAGCCAAGCATTTAAGCATAAATTTTTAAAAACACAAACCTTTTCTTTTGCTTCCAGAATTTTTGCCTCCAAATCAGCTGGTATTATTTTTCCTCTGTAATTATCACAGAAACATAAAGATAAAAAAAATTGAAGAATGTATATGGAAATAATAGCTGCAGTTGAAATAATTCAATAGGATTTTCTCAACAGGCCATTAGCAACTTGACACACTGTAAAGAATCAGTCCTTAAACACAATAAAACAAATTTAACAGATGAGCACATGTAATCTATCAAAACTATAGTATTCCTCCTACCTTTCATTGCATTTTATCAAAATAACATTGTCTGTTCCAAATCCAAGTGCAGCTCCAGCTTTCTTTATTGAGTAATGACTCTGCAGCAAACATATGAACACGAAATGGAGTGGTTGTTTAATGATGAAACATTTTCATAACATATGTCAGTAAATTAAGAATTATCAGTGTATTAAACTCACATGCTCTGAGGTAAAGAGAACCAGTTTAGGGACTGCAGCCATGCCTTTGGTTTTAACTTCAGGAAAATATTTGTAGCGTGCAGCCATTATGCTGTACATGTTGGAGATTGCTCCTCCTGTGAATGAATAAATAAATGAATAATAAAACAGTAATAATGAAGAAAAAAGTACATTATGCCACAGACATACACGTTTCATTTGCATAATGCAATGAAAGTGGCAGTGAACTATGAAAAAATATTTCTCTGAAACACACAGGCATCTGTCTAAATAGCATAGGACAGACTCTCGAGAAAGCCAGACTAATAATCAGAATTTCCTAAATGCCATCTCTTTCATTTGCTATCATTTTGTAACACATTCCTAAAAAGTTCAGCTTTCATTGTGCTGCTTTTGCATGATAACTTCCTGTTAGCAAGAACAACAGGAACATATTAACTTGTCTGAGATTGAAGGAATGTCACATATTGAATGGCTTTATCCCATCTTACTATTGACATAGAAGTAAATGCTTAAAGGTAGATTTCTACAGCTGAGCTACTTCTTCTAAACTCCCTCACAGTCAGCTATGGGAAAGAGGCACTTCACAGGCTATGATTCAACTAATCTATTTTCACACTTTTGAAGAATTTCAGAAAAGGGAAAGCACCTATTTGTCTTGGTTTGCTGCTAAAAAGTGCCCTGAACAATTAGCTCAGTCCTTTGGAGCAGCCCTCAAGCTTTAATAAAATCAATCTCACACCTATAAGCCTAGGATGACTTCTTCCTATAAATTTTTGCATTGATGAGAACAAAATAAATGTCCTGGGGTGACTTTATGATACTGGTATCCCCAATCGTCTGGTTTATGTTATATATTAAGTTCTGCACCTTTAAGACTGGCTTTGAGAGCAAGAGAGGGGGAAGAAGAAGTTCGCAGTTTGTGTTAAGGACAAACATCACTCCCACACATTTGTATATTTCTAGCAGATAGGACTGGAGATCAAACAGTTTATGTGGGCTGTTCCAAAGGCAGATGGTTTTGTCCTTTATGCTCTGTAACAGGATGGTGTTCCCTCATGCCAAACCCAGAAAAGTTCTGCCAGGCACCCACAGGACCTTCACATGGTTCATCATCAGTTGTTTCTGTCACTGCTCATTGCCTTTATGGTCCTTGAGTGGGAAGGCACTTTGTCTTGGTCTTTATGCTAGAATCATACTTGTGAATCCAAACAGATTATATCCCAGATAATGTGTCCCAGAAGGTGACAGACAATCACAACCTTTTCCTGACTGTGAGCCCAAATTCTTGCTGACCAAAGAAATCAGTACATGATTCTGAGAACTTCTAGTCAACAGGTTGCTCAGCACCTCCAGAAATGAGGCTCATAAAAGGGCTGTTTAAATGCCTAACTGTGCACCAGAGCCCATAGTCAAGTTTTAAATGCTGATCAGCCATAGTACATTGACATACGCAGGGATAAGTTTTTGCCCCAGCTTTTCTGTGGGATGTTTAAACAAAGCATTCCTACTTCTAAATATCTGACTCATTGTATGGCAGATAGAGTGAATAATCAGACACAGCCTATGTTTATTTTAATTTCTGAAGTTTTAGTCAAACCACCAAAACAGAGAAGAAAAACTCACCAGGTGAGAATATTCCATCACCATCTTTATTTGACCATCCAATGATCTCCCTCATCTTTCGAAGTGTGATTTGTTCCATGAGGACAAAAACAGGGGCAATTTCATAGGTAAACCTGTGTGGATAAAGCAAAACAAACAAACAAACACAACATAGATACAGATTCTAAAAACATGTAATAAATTCCCAGTCAGTGATTCTTTTTTAGAAACCTCTAGTATTTTAACAGTTTTCCTGTAACCTGTAGTTCTGATCCTTAAGCTTTATCCAAGCAAAAATCCTGAGGAAGACAATACTGGAAATACTCATGAATAAAACCTGCAGTATTAGTTATTTTGCAGCTTTCTGTGCAACCTAATGTTCAACATCACAGCCCTGCTAACATCTGTACAAGGTTGTCCTGTGAAATAACTGTTTCCCAAAGTGCCAATTCCACACTTGTAGAACAACATACTGCTAAATCCTTATGAAAACAGTGAACTTCACGGAGCCAAACAAAACCATAATTAGAAGTATTGAGCTAGGGTTTCAAAGTCTAAATATAATTAATTATGTGGATTTATTCTGTTGATGATCTCCAAGGACAACTTACTTCTACAATACAAAGTGATCAATAACTGTCAAGAGTAATTACAAATGATGATTTTCTAATTACTAATTACCAAAACCAAGTCAGCAGTCAACTATTGTATCCACTTAATGAGGGCAAAAAACATTACATATCCTGGCATGCCCTGATGTCAGAGTCAGATATGTGGATGGAAATTGACATCCATACAACTATTTTTGGTGATCAAGGTACATGGATAAATTACTACTGCTGTAAACAAATTCTGCTGGCTGTGCATGAGTCAAAAAAATAAGTAAGGGAGAAAAGGAACCAGAGAGAAATGAAAAAATCAACCTCTAATTTCCAAAGAATTCTATAAGAGTATGACACCCTGACACTTTGGATTTGACTGATATCCTCTGCTTGAATAATTGCGTCAAAACGTATGTGTTGTTTCTCTAACACTAAAATGATATTTTGAGGATAGGTACAGCAAACTTTAATGAGACACGATATTAAGAAGGGAACAAATGTCTGAAAAAGTTTGTCTTTTTTTTACAGCTACACCAGTTGCTTAGACTGTTAATATTTTCTTCAATTTTTATGTGTCCTTAGTTCATCAGAGAAACACCATCATTATTTTTAAAACATTCCCTGAAGATTAAAAATCTGTAATTTGTTTAATTATTGTGACTGCTATTTTCAGAAGCCAAAATACTAGTAATTTTGTTTTTATTATCATCAGAACTGGTAGAGACATTTGAAAACTGATCTGAAATTTTTGGATGCTGCCACTATTTACAAATGGACAAAATTAATAAACCAGTGTGTGCTAACAGTGGTTTGGACTTGTTTTGTTTTTAAGCACTGCAAGTCTAGAATATATTCCAATCTTTAATTAGGCAGAATGATCAACTGATGTTCACAGGAAGACAGCAGTGTATAGATAGCTGTAGCTCAGTGCAAGGTACTCTTAAGTCAGTGTAATTATTTTTTTCCCCACCAGTCTAAACACATTTTGAGTTTTTTCCTGAGACCTTGCACACTGAATTTTGAATATATTAAACACAAAGAAAACAGAACTTATTTATTCTATTCTGCAGGTATTTTCTGAGTCTCCAAAAACTGACAAGAAATAAATGACAGTATATGTTTATAAATTACAAGGCAAATGAAGCTATATTAGGCAATGGCTATGAATTTACAAATCACATCTTGTTCACTCTGCCTTACTTGCTTTAAACTTAAATTATTTTGAAAAATTCAGTAAAAGTCAAAAAATGTGTTTGGTTTTAAAGGAACCATGTAACTTTAGAATCAATCTCCTAAAAAAAATGCTGATTAGGTTTTTCCTATAGTTACAACATTTACAGGTGTTTCTGTGAATTAGTTATAACAGTCATGAGTATCAGCTCTTTGCTGAAAAAATGTAATAATGCAGGCTTTTTAGTAGGACCAATGCTGGAATAATTCTGCTCGTACCTAAAGGACAAATTGCTTTATCAGACCAAATCATTCTAGTTACCATTCTCTTGTTGGCCAGTATGTAAAAATCAGTCTGAGAATAAACACAGAGCATTTTACATCAATTTTCTATTCATAAGCATATCTGCATAATTCTGAAAACAGCAATATATTCCCTTGTCTCAGGTAACAGTGGGCATAAACAGAACTTCCAGATAATATTTATTTTTAACCTCAGCTGCTGCTGCATGGTGAGAGAATGCCCTGTGCTCCAGATCTCTAGAACTGGATGAATAATGAAATTCTGAATTTCCATGCTGAAGGTCTCATGACTAGTGATTGAGCTATGAATAGCACATTGATATATTATTTTCAAGTCAATGTGGGAAGCTTATTATGTTTAATTGTATATATTATCTTCACAGTGACATTTAAGTAATTTTTCCTAATGACAATTTAAAATTTTGGGAGAGTACAGATGTTTTGATTACTCAAAACTCATCTGCAAAAGAAAACACATACTTTTAATTGTTCACAAATATTTTAAGTACTGTTTATCTGTAGAAAAGAAAAAATGGCAAATGGAAAACATTTCCTACCATAATTCAGTGTTATTGTTGCTTGTGTGTTGTGTGCTCATGTAGCTGTAATAGGTTAGAACAGCTTCTAGGTAAAGGTCAAAACCTGTTCTTGTGTGCTGGAACACTGCTTAAAACAAATAGTATGTTCCCCAGAGCTCACAAGGGGTGATTTGGTTCTTTTTAATAACCTTCTCTGTCAGTCCTTTGAATCAACATTTCACAAACATCTTGCTTTAACCTTACTTGCAATTACTGTGTTACTTGAAAGCACACCATGTTGACTACAGTTTGCAGAAAAAAAGGGCACACTAAGCCTCACACTGACAAATAGATACTAAATTTTCAGGTTCACAGCGAAATATTTTCAAAATACGTTATTGTTTAAAGCACAAATGAATGAGAAACTAGCTATTTAACACCTTACTTTCAAAAAAAGAATGGAAAACATCAATTAAAAGAGTTACCCTTTAAGAAGTGACTGAGTGTGATGTTATTAATAATTTCAATGTTTCTTTATTTTAAAACATGTTCAGTACAGGACTAAAGAGACCAGTCTTACTTGCTGAATATTTGGACTTTGAATATATATAAAAACGGACTAGGAGGTTTGGAATGTTTTTACTGGTTTGGGAGGTTTTTGGATTGGTTGGTGGTTTTTGGTGGGTTTTTTTTGCTGGTTTTTTTGTTGTTGTTTTGTTTTGTGGGTATTTTTTTAATGTTGCTGGTTTGGGTTTTTTTTCATTAATTGCACTCTTGCAAAAATTCATCATAGTGGCTTACACTGACATTTAGCTTTCATTAACTTTGAGGTCAAGAAAAATTAGGAAAAGTTTCTTATTTGATGCATTCGGATGTCAAATTTTACTTTTTTTATACTTCCACTTATTAATTTACGCATGACTTTATTAATCTTAGACTAATTCCTTCATTAGCATAAAATTATTTTTTCAGTGTTACATTTTTAATCATTTTAATGCTACCCAGAAGACACTTCTTTACTAGCACATGAACAGAACGTACTGCCTCAAGTCTGCTATCTCTGAAGTCAACAGTAGAGAGGAAAATTAATTTTTCTGTATCTCGTGTTCTAGTGTTAACATGGCTGCATAGTGGATACATAGTGGATAGCTGCAGACTTGTTCAGTCTAGAGACAGAGCTTTAAAAAAAAGAAAAATATAGAGAAGATTGATCCAAAAGAAGGAAAGTAATTTCATGATATTATATTAGAATAATAATTTTTACTTACCCTGTGCTCTCAGATATTTGCATTTCTATTCAGTTTTATGTAACTATTTTCATTGTATTACTGACACATTAAGAAAAACATGAGACATATTTCCAGAAGACGTAACACTCATCATTTAAAAATGAAAATTATTCATATCTGTGACAATGCCTATCTACCATGACACTTGGCAGCCCATGTAAGCACCAGTCACAGACACGGGTGACAAGACACTGCTTACATGTTTGTATTAGCAGTAGATGTCAGCCACTCCCCAGCCAAGCCAATAATGTCCAGTCCTGTGGACAGCTGATTGAAAAAGCGAGGATGACCTGAAAAGAGAATTGAGAGCAACTTAGAACAAACTCTATCAACATCTCTCAGGTTTCAAATTTAAACCATCCACCCTTTCTGATACAAATCACAGGTTTGTACTCAGAACTTGCAGCAAACTTTTCAAAGCAAGTCCTGCTTATGGGGAGACTGATAGCCAACATTCACAGATGTCTTATTACAAACTTGAAAAAATACTTTGGATATGAGGTTCTGTATGGAATCATTTGCGTTTGAAAGAGAACCTTAGAATCGGCTGAGCCTGTAAACACCTCCGGGAGCTGCTCAAGCTGCTTGGGCTAGCCCATTTCCAGAGCCCTCTTCCGACTTCCGTCGTGCTGTGAACTCGGGTGAGGAGCCGCGGTGGGGGACACCCCCTTGGCAGTAATAACCTCCAGGTACTGGGGCTATTTGCATTTAAATGGAGGAAGACTCAGGCTCAGGCGCTTGAACTGGGGCTGCAGGAGTGAGAGAGGGGTGCGGAGGAGCCAGTCTCTTCCCGAGCTATAAGGACACGGGAGAGACGCTTCAAGGGGTCTCGGCAGAAAAAGCAGCAGGGGTAGAGGGCCCCCCAAGAGCTCCTCTACTCGGGCCCTTTCCCCACGTGGTTTATAAAGCAGAATGCACCTCCCTAAACAGGGTTTGCTATTGAACCGAAATAAATCACATTCCTGTATTCCAGCCGAAAGTGCTTTAACGACTTATATAAGCAATAATCCCGATTGTCGGAGGTCTACTTATCTAGCATGAAGAGAAGAAATTCCTAACAGCCGGGAAGGGGCGTTGAGGGGAGGTGTCATGATTTAGACCTCTCTACTCTCTGAGGAAGGACACGCAGATAGCACACTGGGGACACCCCGGCCCTAGAAGGGAGGTCAGCTCTCGACACCTGGAGGGACCCTGTCACGTCGGATTCTGCTCAACACTAGGAACATCAGCATCTTTTGACATGAAGAAATAAATGCGATTCTGCCCCGAGCGATGTCAGCAGAAATCTTTTGGAGGCGTGAGCCTGCCGGCGCTGCCACATCGCAACACTTCCTGACGAGGATGCGCCGCACCCGGGCTGCTCCCGCCCGGGGAACCCACGGCTCGGGGCTAGAGCCCAGAGATACACCACTTAGCTGTTTGCTTTACAAATCAGCACTTCTCTCCCTTTCCAGGACACACTGGCTGGGAACTTATCTTAAGCGACATTTCGGTGACCTCCCATAGCTGTTAATGAGCCCGGCATCTCCTGAGGCTGGGCTGCAGATTCAGACCCGGTAACTTCGAAGGGAGCTCCGCCTTGAGAGAGAATGTGAGCCCCAGAAGCCCCAGAAGAATGCGTGTCCTGGGCAGTCAGACAATCCGAGCAGCTCTTTAAAGCTGCACCAGACACCGCTTTGAACAGAGCTTGTGTCCGGTTGGATACCTGCCTCTCAGGTCCTGGGGACACGTCCTGCTGGTCCCACAGAAGCTCCAGGGGAGGTCGGGGTGAGGGGAGGAGGTTGCTCGGCATGCGGCGCAATGAATAGGGGAATAATGGTGCAAGCACACAGAGCGCAGCCACTCTGACTTAACTTCTGGCCACCTGTCCAACAATCCACGCGTTTGGGAGTGAAACACTCTCCCCTTTGATTAAGAGTACAATAATCAAAATATGCTCCTGACTCCCCTGAATCAAACAAACCACCATGTAAATAGGAAAGACAGAACGCTATGTGCCACATCTGTAGTCAAGATTTTGCTCGTTGAATGCACTGCATTGGGTTTTCACTGCTACAAAACTAACCACAGCAGAAAGCTGCGGCCCGTGCTCCAGGAGCCGTGGCTCGCAGCTTCCCGGCCAGAGACCGCCGGTCAGCGGCCTCCGGCTCTGAGCTCATCGCTCCAGCTCCTCGGAGAAATCGCCGCCCGCTGCGGTCGAGCTGAGCCGAGCCGTGCCGAGCCGTGCCGAAGAGGGCAGCGGCTCGGGCAGAGCTCGGCAGCCCTGAAAAGCTGGAGCAAGGCTGGGGAGGGGAAACTCGGCGCGCTCCATTACCGCTCCAGTTCCTGACCTGCTCGGGTACGTACGGCAGTCGGGGCTAGTGGACAGCCGGGATTTCTGTAGATACAATATAAAACATTTCAGACCAAACAGCCTGAAAGAGCATTGACTTTGCTCTAGAGCCTGGCTGCCGCTCACCCTGTAAAGGAAGTGATTACAAACCGGGATTTCTGTCTGATTCAGAAGGACCTGGACAGGCAGACCTCCTGGGTAATGGGCTGAAATCCACAGGGTTCCTTTATTAATGATTCCTAGGATTTCAGTCTCTTTTTCATTAAACGTTTGATGAACATAAAAAAGAAAAATTGCAAATTCTGTGTCATTTATGCCCTAATTTACCTAATGATATTGCTCTCCGGAGATACAGACAGCTCGCGTTTCATCAAGTGAAAGAGATTATGCCTTAAAAACTTGTTTCTGTGCTCTAAAAACAGCACTGAGCCCTACCCGGCGGGGACGGATGATCATCAATACATGAAGCTTCTGAGCAGAAACATTTCCAGCGCCCGCAGCCAGTCCTGGAGCCGAGCCTGCAGGCAGGCACAGTCACGGGCTACAGAGGGTGTGCTCTTACCTCTGCGAACTCAGTCACGCTCTCTTCAGCGTGAGCCTGAGAAAAGTCCCAGGAGGGACTCGCCGCAGAGTAGTGCTCAAAACCTACCTGTCCTCACTCCGTATTTCAGTGTGTCCCGACAATCCACCAGAATCTGCTCCAGGGACTCAGGGTTGTCCGAAAGCTCCAGGTTGAAGCCCTCCATGCCCTCCAGGAGCTGGTGTGGGTGGTGGAAGTCCAGCACTTTGGTGGATCTGTCAAACGTCTTCCTCACGTAATTGAGGAGGATGTCCACAACCTCCAACAGGAACTGCATGGTCTGCTCCTCACCATTCTTGGAGGGCAGCAAATCTGTGGGGCAAACCAGCTGTCAACGCTTGCTTTGGGAGAGAGAGGCAGAGATGAACCAGCCTCGGCTGCCCGCAGCGCTCCAAGGACCTGGAAACTGCTGCCCCAGCGCTGCCTGGTTGCGGCCGGGCATACTCCCGGTCCCTCTCGCCCCGTGGGGAAGGGCGAGCCTAGGCAGCCCACGGCAGCGGCAGGGCCAAGGCGCCCCGGCCCAAACACACGTCCCGCAAAGCTAAGGCTGTGCCTTGAGAGGCACTCGCTTCCTGTGGGCAAAAAGTACCCAAAGTCTGCACCTGCCCTTACCTTGCGACGTCCCCACCTCCACTCCACAAAGAGATTGCTTTCCCTTTCCCACCCTCCTTGCAATGGCCCCGTACCAGCAATCACAGGCTGCTTCATTTCTATTTTACTAAGGAGGATGAAAACATAAAATTACTCTCCTCCCGGATTCTGGATCTGGAGAAACCCCTGGAACTGCTGAAGCTGAGCTGTAGACGATCAGACAAAGTACTTAAAACTGCATTTCAGGCAGTTTGCATACCTCTCTAGTGCAGCTCCCAAAAAACATAGACGGAGCTTCCTTCAAAAACAGCCAAGGAAAAGCACAGTCTGAACGTGGCTGCACTTCCAGGGGAGATGAGGGCAAGACTACTAAGGGACATGCCTGAGCTGGAGCAAGGAGAAACTGTAAAGTGTTTACCTCTGGCATACAGATTGGAAAAGTCTGTCTCGGTGCGCCGGAACCTGGATCCTTTCTCACTGTTCTCGCATGCCAGCAAGCCCTTGGAGGACTGCCTTTCCTTCAGAGAACTGACGATCCGGCCCTTGTCTTCCAGGCTGTTGGTCCGTTGCAGGAACCCTACATTATTATCACAAGGTGCACAGGTCAGAGTTTTCTCACTTCCCAACATGTTTAGAAATATCGAAAGCAGCTCTCTAGACAACAGTTAAAAGCGGCGTTGGCTTAGATCTGACTAATGAGGTCAGGAATAAGGGTATTTATGGGGATTATTTGCCTCCAGGAGGGAGAGTTCAAAATGCCATCAACTGCAAAAACGCAGCCATGCAAAAAACAAAATTTCGTCATTTAGTGCAGTGGTAAATTCTTATTAAGTCGATCAGACAGATTCCACCTCAGTAACCAGCCACTGGAAGAGAGTTCAGGATGAGTCAATGCTATTTCAGCCTGCAGGCGAAGTTTATGGACCTAGCAGACAGGGGCAATGATGTATGATTAAAATAAGGGCCATTTTCAGCTCTCCTCGTGGTGCTCTCACGCACAAAAGGCACGAGAACAAGCAGCCATTCTAGAGCAGCCGTCCTCAGAGTGCTAGAGCTCTGTAGTACCAGTAGTACCCGTAAAACCCACCTTCTTATTAGAAGTAAGTACTGATGCGGAATTTCCACCTGAAAAGATGCTTTGATGCTAATAGTAATCATCCCCGGAGGTTTTAAGAGCTCCACTCTCAACCGGAAACGCATCTTTGGAGCCCAGAACCCGAACACAACTGCCGCTGTGATATGCCACGGCAATAAAAAACCCACTCACCCCAAGAATTATGGGGGTGGGAACCATGCGGAGTCCGCGGCGAGTAATGAAATCTGTCTACTTTAACAAGGCAGGGGGAACAATTAATTTTCTGGATTTGATCTATTAAATCTATGATGCCCACTAAAACAAGCATAGTGTCGGGCTTTTAGTCACTAAGGAAAACATCGGATTTTGACCTTTCCGTTTGCAGCGAGTGTGCCTGTATGTTTGGAAGAGGCACTACAGCGGCGCCAGTCTCCTTTATTCTTTCTTTCAAAACAAGCGACAATCGAAACCAAGGCTCGTCGCGGCTGGGGATACCCTCCAGAAAAGAGGGCTTAGCAGGGAGGAAAAACAACGTCCTGAGTTCGCTCACAATCGTCCCCCGACGCCGCTTCTCTTCAGCGCCCTCCGCTTTCCGGCCATGTGTCCCTGCTCTCCGGAGCCGTGGGGGACCGAGACTGTGGGCACCTCCCATCGGGAGCCCGTACAGGACCCCTGCATCTTGGGCAGGCATAGGGGCTGAATCTCGGGGGAGAAAAGGGAGAGACAGTGAGCTGCTGGGCCAATTGCTCCTGACGTGGTACCTGTGCCTCGGACCCTGCTGGCTGACCCAGCCAGCCAGTCACGAAAGAATTCTCGAAAACGGAGCACTCGGTTGGCAGGCCCTTCTGCATCAGTCGGGCACCCATACGAGTCTCCAGGAGGGTCGCTCACAGGTAAGTTTGTCGGAACAATACTTCCCGTGAACACCTCGTGTTTTGCGTCTTAATTCTGATCTTCTACTGATTAGTCTTTTTCTGTGACGCTTTTACGAATGAGACAAAGACTATTTAAGGGAAACTCTCTTCGTGCATAAGTTAAGAGTTAGCCGCCCATATATATTTATGCTGTTACTGCTTCTAATAGCTCTTGCAGCGATTATTAGCTCCTGCAACAGCTAGTGCTATTTGCCCGCTCATTAGGAGGAGGACCTAATACCGAAGCAGGTGCTGTCTAAACTGAGCTATGGATCCTCTTTTACCAGGTCCTGGGACTTCATTTTGCTTTTTTTTCCCCCTCACTCATCATTTTTTCAGGCTCTCAGCAGCGATGCTCAAGCGGGACGAGTTCCGTGAGAAAAGACGTCTGAGGGAAGAGCGGCGCTCCTCCTGCCTCGAGTGTTCCCCGCACAAGTGGCGCTCCCCTCAGCGTGCAGACACGCATTCCTCAGAGGCTGGGAAAGGAGGAAGCACCGCTTCAGTAACAAAGGCTGCAGTTGCCACAAGTTTAACTCTCATCGGGCCCAGCGAGGCTGCGGCTTCGCTGAAGGGTCTAACCTAACTAGACGTTGCGGGCAGGGAGCTCAGTCCTTGCCCGAGCGCCTCTGCCGCTGTTCTTCCCCGCCGAGGCTCCCCGGAGCCGCTGTGCCCTGCAGCCGGCGGCGGGGATCAGCTGCGGCTCGAAGCGGCTGCACACGGGGCCTGTCAGCCCGCGCCTCGTGGGGCCCGCGGGGCTGCGCGGCCGCGCTGGGAAGGCTCGAGGGCCGGGATTACAGGACGACAAAAACCCTGAAGGCAGGATCGCGCTGTCGGCCGACATCAGCCCATCCGGCTGTAGGTAACGTGTGCCGTTCGCTAAAGTCCATCGGCCACGTCAGGGACGTTCCCCAGCGCTGTCCCGGGAGGCAGAGAAGCGTAACAGCCGGCCCTCGAAGGCTCCTTCCGCTCCCGGGGAAAAGTGCATGACTGAAGCCGACCTTTCATCCGTATCCTACTTGAAAAGCGAGGAGAGTTCCAGCAAGCAGCAAAGTATGAAATAGCGTCCACGCTCCTTCTCCTGGAGCAGCGGAGAGCACAGCCTTTCTCAGCTGTAGGTCCGTCCCGCAAGTGCATTTTCAATGATGCGCTTTAAGAGACCGAGTTTTCGAAAGCCGAGTGACACCAGACTGACGAGGGAGTCCCTCGGTGCACAACGTGACCACAAACTCAGCGTGATTTCACATCAGGCCTCGCACAAGCAGGTGTATGAGCCCCCCCTCGGCCTCGCAGCCCTGGGTGGACACTCATCTTCCGAGGCGGGGACAGAACGCAGCCGTCGGGTGGTGCACGTCGGTGGCGGCTGCAGGAGATCCCGGTCCCCCGCCGCGGTCGGGGTGTTTAGCACCACCTATGTAAATTATGCTTGGCAGCATAAATCCCACGGAATCCGGAGACGATCCCTGTTTCTAACATGCATGGCTGCTTTGGAAGCCCCACTCTCCCGCGTTGCGCACTGGGTTTGGAATCGTCAGCTGGCCGAGGCCAAGCAGAAGACGCACCGAAGCAATTTCACTACACTGAGCACTTCCGCTGATGCCAAGCAAATATCAGCAGGATCAGTCCCAGCAAGAACAATTGCCAGGGTGGGAGTGTAGCATACAAATCCAGATACAGGGGATAATCTGCCCATATTTTTTTCCGTCGTGGCAGTTCATTAAACCATTTATAAATAGGGTTTTGGTTTTTTGGTGGTATTTTTTGTTGCTATTTTTTTAAAAGTGCTTATGTGCAGAGACGGAGAGGTTCAAGAGGGGTGGGGGTGGTGGCAGCGGCAGCGGCAGCGTTCTTTTCAGGCAGTGGCTTTCAATCAGAAAAGGAAAAGAAGCTAATCCTTAAATTGCTCAGTTATTTAAGAAGAAATGACGTACCTCTTGGATACGTAATTATTGAAAATGTCAAACACATAATATACAACCCAGATGGAAGAACCAACTCATTGCTTTTTCTCTGAGGTCAACCCTTATTTAAAGTTTGCATTCAAAATTAATCGATTTCAAATTACAAGCACAAAAGGAACATTCCAAAGTGCCTTTGTGACTATACAATATTTAGGGTCCGGAATGATATCTTGTGAAAGGTAAGGACAGGGAGATATCATCTGCAACAGTCAAACGTCAACTCCTTTAGCATGTTTAATTAGGATTCTTGGCAACCTTAATACTTCACTCAGTTTACCATAGGCAACCTTCCCTGTATGCCTTTGTGAAGGTGTTCGATTCAAATAGGAGGACACATACAAGTAAAAATCAGTGGTCGTGATCAAACCTGAATATTCCACACTGGCGTCACTCACTATTCAGAGTATATTTTTCATGTAAAACAGAAAAGAGCCAGCAAAGGAAAATTGAGCATCAAACCACAACCAAAAATACAGCTTGTCCTGAACTCCCTTCACAAAGCCTTCACTACACTCTCTTATGCCCTTCTCAAATCCAAAATGGTGGGATATTTCATTTTCAAGTGTATTTGATGGCATTGAGAGAAGCTGCGCTGTCCCTCTCTAACCCCTGTAGTCTAGCAACACGGAGCAAGCCTAAGAGTGCTTTACTTTATCAGTTCTGCTTGCCGGGCTAAATTAAAATGATGGTGAAAATGCCCATCGCTCCAGCCACTGAGGGGACTGGTAGGAAAATGGTCCATTAAACCCAGATCAGGAGCTATTTATAGAACTAAGCGACTACTCGTTAATGTCGCCAGCGGCTACCAGAGAAATCTCTCACAGACACAGGGCTAAACATTTGCACCCTGATTCTTTTCCCGTTCAAACTTCCAGGTGACAAAACGTTTAATGAATGAACTTCGACCCGAGCAAACAGGAAAAGAGGTTTAAAATTTAAATGTTCCTTTGCATCAAAAAAAAAGGTTAGTTTCTCCCACGACATATTTCCCATCCCCCCAAAAAAGAGACATAGAGCAAAAGGGGACATAATTTCTATGCATAAGGGATATGGGCTAAGCTGAATGATTGTCCCCATCAGAATATGAAAATTTGACTGTTAGTCTCTGAAAGCAAAGGCGCTACTGAGATATCTAGAGAAGGAAGACAGCTTGTTATCTGCAAATGAATCTCTTGCTATAACGTTGCGATCTGATTGTGCATTTGTTTCCCTTCTGCATTTCATGTGCCTGCGCGCTGACTGGCTGCCAGCGCTATCTTACCAGCACAGCAAGCTGACGAATTGCTCTTTAATAAGGCTCTCGTTAATCTTTTTTCCCCAGGAGATCCGTATTTTCTAGTCAGATAAGGCTGAAAAATTTCAGACAGTGAGAGGCAGCGAACCGGCCCCCCGCCCCCCCGCTTTTCCTCTCTGACGGAGTCCCCGGCGGGTCCTGTGCCTTCTTCGCCAGGAGCGCCCGGCGCTGGCACCCCCGCGGTGTGGCAGGAGGGGTAGCGGGGTGTACAAAACCGCGGCCCCCGCTAGCCCAAGGGAGGGCCCAGCGGCGGGGCCGGGGCCGCCGAGCCGCCGGCAGGGGGCGGCCGAGGCAGGACCTGCCGGGGGCGCTCGGCCCGTGCTGCCCCCGCCGGGGCGGCCGCGTGGGGTGAGGGGTGTCGTACGGGGAGGCACGGCCGCGCTTACCGCATATCTTCAGCCCGATCTTCCTGGTGCACCCGTGAGCCACGCCGCACCACGAGTCGTAAGCTGGAAGAGAGAGCAGAGTTGTTCCCCTGGGGCGGCGGCGTTGTCCGGTCGCCGCGCCCCACCCCGGTTCCCAGCACGGATGTATCGCCGTGAGAAACTGCTGGGCGCGGGGCAGCTGGGGCTCGGATGACAGCGAGGTGACATGCTGGGCTGCCCAGGGGAGAGGAAAAGGCACCCGGGACCCGACATCTCATCATTTACTGGCGGGGCTCCAGGGAAGTAGCAGCTTAAAATAAAGTGGCGTGAAATGGGGTCACAAAAGAGTTCAGGAATTAATTGGGTGAAAAATAGTATTTGACTAGATGATCCGACTCGCATCATTGAGCCTCGGACGGACTGACGGGCCTCCGACAGCCCTACTAGGATGGCACCCTCAGGAGGGAACCGGCTGCTTCCCAGCCCCTCGAGTCGTGGCTCGGACACGCCCCGATCGGCTCCAGCTGAGCCCACGGGAAGCGGGGATCGAAGCCCAGGACCGAGGTGTAGGGTGCGCCAGCCACTGCCCCGGGCACTGCCGAGCCTCTCCCGTCCGTCGCCCGCGGCACGGGGTAGCAGCAAATTCGGCAGCGATGGACCCCAGAGGGCGACCGGGGGCGGTGGGGGGCTGACCTGGAGTTGGGGTGTGAGGGGAGAGGTTTCAGAGGAACCGGGACTAGGACAGCTCACCCAAACACTGAGGACAGCGGCCCGACTCTCGGGAAGAGGGAAGCGCCACGGCGCTCACGGCCGGGCGGAGGAGCTCTCTCGGCAGGGGCGCTGCCAGTGCCCGGGGGCGGGGAGCCCGTGTGGGCAGAGAGGGGTGCTGCTGCCAGCGGTTATCTTAGTTTTAGCCGTGTTGCAAATTAATTCGATTTCTGCGTGTGACACTTCGGTCGAAGGCAGCAGTGTCTGCCATGCGCGCCTGAAACAAGACCCAGTGCTGCCGTTCGCCCCCTCCCCTGTTTTTTCGTTTCAGAATAATGACAATAATGACTCCGATGCTCGTGCCTCGTAGCTCTTTCAGGGTAAAAGCTATTACCCGTTCTGCTGTCCCTGACAACCTTTCATTTCTTACTGTTGCCCGCTCTTTGTCTCTGATGCTTTATAGCATCGAGCCTCTTTTTAAAAAATATTATTATTTTTTCTGTAGGCAACGGTCTGAACTGCCTGGCAAGACTATAAGCTGATTCTCTATCCACCTGCAGCAGCCTTTGCTTCCCACTCACACCTCAATAACTCAAGGCGAATCCAGAGCAATTAGGAATATAACGCTCTGAAAAAGCTGCAATTAGCATCCAAATTTCGCTTGATTACAGGCTTCAGCGTAGGCTGAAAAGAAGCTGCAGCATTAGCATTTATAAAATGTAGCGGGGAGACACCCGCTTTAATACCCTAGTGTAACTTCGCCCTTTAACAGATTCGTTTTCTCCACACCCCTACCAACATCCCGATTTTTTTTTGTTCATCTGGGAGGTCAGTTGATTGTCTATATCTTTCGAACTTGTCTGTAAGATAAAGACAACGTTGGCCAGTAAGGTGGGCTTTTCCTCGCAGCGTTTTATTCGCCACGGACCGACCTCTCCTGTTCCCAGTAGGAAGATGGTTTCTTTGTGTAGAGCACTTTCCGCACCTTGCTTAATGGCGCGGAACAGGGCTTCACAGATGTATCATTTCGTTTCGAAACTGGTCTCTGTGACCCTAAATGAAGAAAGCCTTCAAAACACTTAAAACAAGGAAAATATTAAAACCTACTTGTAGGTCGCAAATTAGGTGGGGTGGGGTCCGGAGCATCGTTGGAGGACGAGGGAGCGGAGGAAGCCATCCCTTCAGAAAAGTCCCAGTCCTGGGAGTTCGTATTTCCTCGATATTTCTCTGAGGGGTGGGCAGCAAGGAATTTGCTGGAAGGAAGAACAGGCGGATTTAGTAGTCTAGTCTCCTGGAGCACCGGAGTCCAGTCCAGACGACAGCGGGCGGCAGCCGCGCAGGTCCCGAGGCGGCGGCAGGACCGGCCGAACCGAGAAAATGCCTCGACAGACTGAAGAGCAAAATCTTCCCTTCGCTAGATTTCAGGGCGCTACCCCCCGCGCCTGAACGACGGATTTAGCAGAGCATGAAGTCTATAGCAATTATATCGGTGGCCACTGAGCAGGGCAGTTATATGGCTCCCATCAAATGGAGACCAACGTGCAAAGAGGGCTTCGAACTCACCAGCCCCAACGACCTACAATCCCGAACAGAGCCCGCTTCTCGGCTTTACCAAACACACGTCAGGTTAAGCGTTCAGGAAAGACTGACACAAAGGTGCTTTTTGCCCAGGTCCAGTGACAGGCGCCACATACATGTGTATTTGCACACACATGTTTCAGCAAACCGGGGCCGGTATGTGCTCCGGCGCTAACCCGGGATCTCCCGTGCCCGCGCTCGCTTTAGCGGCGCAAATGGCAGGAGGGTCTGTCTGGGAAAAGGAAGGTGCAGGACCAGCCCTCGCTCCTCGCCAGATGTTCAGCTCTTTCCTGGCGGACACTGCGTTCTGATAACCAATATAGGGTCGCCGATCGAGAATGGTCGGGTCACTGCCCGGCTCGTCTCTTTGTCCCCACGGTTACCTGCGATTTATTTTCTTCCCCTTGTAAAAGAAAATGAAGGTCGCGGTAACGAAAGAATGCTTTCTTTGTTAGCGGCTTTTTTCAAATCGGTAGCTACCGGTTCATTTCCACTGCTGGGTGGATTTACACCCGCTTGTAAACGCAACGGTTCAACGATTTCAATTGAAATCAGGTATTTAATTTTTTTAAGACGAGAAAGAAAACAGCCATAAGCAGAAAATATTTTCTAGACAATGCCTGGAAGTGAAGTAACAGGTTAACACTATGTCTAGGGCGGTAGCTGTATCAAAACCCCGTTATTCCTCTATTCATACGACAGCGAGCAAAACCGATCTGGGGAGGAAAAATTGCTCCAGATGTTCCCAATGGCTTGGAAAAAAATAGGATGCTGTTTAGAAGACACTTACCGAGGGGGCGAGCGGACACTGTTATTGCCGTAGTCCAGGTTAGCAGGGCGACTCTCGCCTGGGAGCGACCCGCCGCTTATAAACTCTGCCAGAAACGACGTCGGAATACCAATCGCGCCGCGGAATTTAATGCGAGATGACCTTTTTTTCCAGAAGTGCTCGGATTTGCTTTTTTAAAAGCGTGAATCGCCGGCTGATCTGCTTCGACGCAGGCATGAGTCACAGGACTGCCGCCGCCGCCTCCGCGCCGCTCCACACGGGGGCTGGGGACCGCTGGGGCGGCCGGCTGGGGCGGGGAAGGGCGGCCCACCGGCCCCGGCTGTTGCCGCTGCTCTGCTTCACCCCGGGGCGGCGGGGCTGACTCCCGCGGCGGGTGGGGCTGTCCAGCCGCAGCAGGGGCGGCACCCCAGGCAGGCGGTTCTGCCGTGCAAGCCCCTCTTGCGGACGGAACCCGAGGCTTTCCCTAGACAGCACCGGCTTGACCCGAGGTCGCCAGCTGTGATAGTAGGCACCGCACACATCGGCGCACCGTTGAGACGACGGGGCCGAACTCCCACCAAGGACGTCCCTTCGGCCCCGGCCCTCCGCCGAGCATGGTGAGGGACTCGAATGAGCCAGGCGGGGTTCGTGTGAACTAGCAACACCCCCTGTCCCCCCCTTCGCCGTGCCGAGGGTCTGATGTGACCCGCTGTCTCAGCCCGCGGTTCCCGCGGCTCCGCTCCTCCCCGCCAGAGGGTGGCAGAGGCACGGGTACCGCTGCAGGAGAACACCTGGATGCCTGTGACTTGCCCTCAGTGCTGCCATTAGATTACGATTTTATACCAGACATCCCTTCGTTAAAACCAGAAACATTAAGGCAACAAGTTTTTTGTACCTCTGACTACCCCATGTTTGCGTTACTCCATCCCACACCCCGAATATGCTTAGCCAACATTTTGTGGTGGTGACCGCGGTGCTGTATTTCAGCATGCCACAGTAGCTACGCAGATGCCTAAACCAAGCCCTTCTCAAAAGGATGTCACGTAAGGGGCTGGGAGAAATCTGCAATGAGACGAGAGGAGGGGATACAACCCGCTGGAGCCAGAGAATTTCATCGTGTGCAGGAGATGATGGGCAGCACTATAAGCAGCAGGGCTTTGTCCTTTCTGAAGGACTCGAGGGAAAAGCAAAAACTTACAAGCCCGTTTTGTAAAGGAAACTGTCCGACTGCCAGCACAAAGTAGCCAAGACGACTGTTTTACTCTCTAGGAACTGGACGTGCAACAAAAACACTGACATCACAAAGACTAGTTTTTAAACATAGCTTTATAGATATTAATGGCCCTAGCTGACACGACCTTTTCTTATAGCTAGACTATAATTTTAAAGCTGGTTTCAACCAATTGAGCAAAGCATTTGCTCAGTACAGAGTGTGAAAAATAAAAATATAACTCTAACTAATTGTCTTTATAAACGTAAACAAACGTTCAAAGGAAGTAATGGCAGAATTGCAGTACAAAGAGTCAACGAAAGGCCACGCGAAGAACCCCTAAGCCATCAGTGACTGTGAGGCACAACCCAGCCGGGTGTATGTCCGACACGCTTATTCCTTCCCTTCTGGCTTTCCAGAAGTGCATGTATCTGGAATAAACAGACATGATTACATTTATGTTTAACATAAATATTTACATCCTCGTAGAAGCTGAGGCCCGTGAGGGGAAGGAGCCAGACAATGAAGGCCAGTGAGCCTTCCGTGGCACGCTGGAAACACTCTCCAGCGCCGCGAGGAGTCCGGCTGCGCGGCGCTCCCGGCTCTCCCCTGCGCTCAGCACCGCGGACAGCGCCCGTAGCAGCCCGGCCGCGCAGCCCCTGAGCCGTGAGCAGCACGGTCGGGGGCGCGGGCAGCGGCCTCGCACGGCCCGGGCGGCTGTGAGGAGCTCTCGATCCCTCCCGGCCATGCAGGACGATGCCGAGAGCGAGTCCCACCGAGCCCGGCCCGCTCCCCGCCTCAAGGCCCCTCTGGGTGGCGCTGCATCTCAAGCGCAGACGCTCCGCAAAGGCCTGCGCAGAGCCCTCCCGGCCGCTGCTGCGGCTGCTCCGAGCCCCTGCACACCATGAGCTATCCGTCCTGGCCCCGGCGGCGGCAAGGGGAAAGCAGCAAACCCTGGGACTCCGCGGGTCCCTCCCTCGCTCATCTACAGCGTGGCTGTACAGCACGCCCGGAAACGCTTCCTAACTCTCATTTGCAAAGGACCCGCTTGAAAATCCGTACAAAACCCGAACCACTCCAGCTCAGCGGCTTCATTCTGAACTCCCACACCAACTGAAATCTCTGAAACACGCTTGCCAGGTGTACATACACAGGCTAGGGCACTTAGAGATGTGCCACTTTCACCGAGAGAGTTCAAAGTCTTCTCGTTCAGCTGTGCTGCTCAAGCAGTCTCCTTGCATGTGATTGTCCCTTCCCTGACGCTGCTGCTCCAGTGCACTCTAGGCACAGCTTACAGAGAATCTCTTCGCAGCTGGGGACCCAGAAGACTTGGGCTTTACTTTGAATCCAAATCCATTGCTGAGGATGTGAAACACTCAGTAAAAACCACTGATAGGCGGTATCAGCAAGACAGTAGGATGAAGATATATAATTACCTTAGCTGAAGCTTGTAAGCAGTGCATCAGTTAGAACTCACTTTAAAAAGCCAGACCATGGGGTATTTCTTGAATTCACCTCCATCCACAAACTGGACATGCTAAAATATGAATCTTGAATACCCTAGTGGACAAAGGAATGAATGTGATGCAGTAAATATCTTTAGTAACAAAGACTACTGGATAGTTACATAGTTTTTATAGCTGTGGACATGTAAACAATGACTGTCAAGCAGAAAAAACACTATTCCTACTGCAACCTGTAGATTTGAAAAGTCATTGTGTTTGGAGCTGCATACAATATTTTGAGATGAGTGCCTCCTGCCTACACTGTAAGGAGGTCACAATGTAACTACATGACAATGTAAAGGCAAATAGACAAAAGTCCCTGTGCCATAACATTTCTTGTTTCTTCATATTCTGAAGTATAGTGACATGATATATGCATTTATCTACAGGCAGGGCAGTAAACTTGACTTCTGGTGATTATTATTTTTATTGTGAGAGGTTCCCTCCATGAATGGTCAGTGTTGCCTTTTAATTGCCATTTTGTGTGGATTACAAAATTTTTAGCAGGCCGGGATTAGGCAAACTCTTTCCTTGAGAAACTGTATACAGTTGTCCTTGGAATTGTATACAACAATAAATGCACAGAACACACACATCTGTGATGTTTCTGGACTTGTGGGTTTGTATTTTTGTCTTTGCAGCTTGTGGTTTTTATTTGGGTTATATAATTATAATTTTTAATCCAGTACATTATTACAAAATACACTTATTGCATCTGGTATCTCTTGCTTTTCCTACCATTTCTGGTATACAAAAATGTCTACTTTATCTGTATCTTAGACAGAATGGAATAATTTAAATAATAAATTTCATTAACTCTTGACACAGAAAAATTGGAAAATTATTCAAAACAAAGTATTTTAGAACTTTTCTGGCTATCATCTTCAGTACTTAAAAACACAGGTAATAAATTCCTCTATATCTGTGGCAAAAAAACTGAATATGCTGGGAGAAAAAATAACAAATTAGTGCTTTGATTATTTGGCCCTGTCCAGAAAATTCTACAAATGGAAATCTGGTGAAGACTTTCGATTTATACTCCTACTCTAAAGATAATTTTTGCTATTTTCTGTCACTTGACAAAAATTAATTGAAGATGAATATACATTTGCTTTGGGTTTTATGAACACTCAGTACTGATGTACCCAACTGGCCCATATTTAAAGATCATGTACATCACTTGAATTCCAAAGATAGCTCAAGATGAACTCCCAGACAAAACATTCAGCACTGCTGTAATGAAGGGCATTTTAAAAAGTCTAATCTGAAACACACTGTTTTACATACTTTGTGGCTTCTTGTTTCAGGTTGTCCCTTTCCTGATCCATGCTAGCATGTCTTCTTGTCCATTTTGATCTGCTTTATCTGAAAAACATCCCCAAAACAACCTATATCCTGAAGCAATAGCAGCTGAAAATCCCGTCTCCCAATACCCCCCAAAAAACCATAGAAAGAAACAAAGAATACCCTTGCTTTCAAGCTGTAACAAAATAAAATCTTTCTTATCTAGATGGATCAAACAGAGTTACTTAAGTTAGATAACTGTGACTGTAATGTAAAAAAATAACAGAAGTGATAATACACACACTAAGTCCACTCTCTACCAGTTTTAGGAGATCGCAATTTTACCCGGAAAGAAAATTTATTTCCCATCTCCCCCAGTAACTCTGTAGAGCCAAGACAGCTAATGCCTGATATACTTCCTCTTATATTATAGCTGTTACATATTACTGAATTATATCTTTTTATCCCATAGAAGGGCATCAGTTTATGATGAGAACATTCAGGAGTTTCAGGAGTGCTGTTGCAGGAGATCATACAGTTTGACTCTCCAATCTCATAACAAATTTGGAGAGCTGGATTCTGGGACTTTTTTTAACACATGATTGTTTAAATTAAGCATATTTCATAAATAATCCTCAGGAAACAAGAAGCATGGGCTTTTCTGCTACTTTAAAAAAACACTTGTCAAATCATAACTCAGTTTCAGGTATGGGCTTTTCAAGTCTCAAAAGTTTTTGTGATCATTAGAGTTGTGATTTGAGCTAGACTTTGTTTGTTTTGGTTGCTTGCTTTGGTTTTTTTTTTTTTGTTTTGTTGGTTTGTTTTTATTTGATTTTTCCCCTTTCCCCCCTCTTTGCTCAGTGGTGGAGGAGTCAGGTTTTGCCCTGACAGGTTTGTTAGTTCATCCTGGACAGATGTCAGTACTAGTGAAATTGCAGACTTTCTGCAGGACTGCTTTTGAAACCCTTCTTTCCTCTGGTTTCTTTTCAGCTACACTATTACAGAAATGGAAACAAAAATTGTTTCTAAAATGGAAGGTTAAGTGCACCTGATTGAAATACAAGGGGTTTAAGCAAAGCACCAATACATACATTTTTTAACACAGTGCAATCAAAGCACAGAAACACAAACAGGATGGTATGAACCGCTACAAAGATGGCCAACTGGCACACTGTACTCTGAAAAATACAGTGATATGTGCTTGTCTACCAAGATGTGTTTGTCTACCAGAAAAAACAGAT